TTGAATCTGAGCCCGATCTAAAGGTCACGACTTTATTTTGTGTTTGAATTTTAATTTTGTTTTTTTTACAAATCTAAATCACTTGAAATTTTAAGCATGTGTTCTTCTCATTAAGTCGCACTTAATAAAAATATAAAAAAAATAATCTGTAAAAATAAAAGTGATAAAAATATTTTTGAAACTTTATGGGGATATTTTGGTCAATTTTTTTCATGTAAAATAATTTTTTTATATTTTTCGAAGATTCACTTATTTTTAATGAACACATGTTTAAAATTTCAAATGATTTGGATTTGTAGAAAAAATATTAAAATTCAAACACTATCAGACATCTGTGATCGTCAGATCAGCCCCCATTCAATCTGGGCCGTTAGGTTCATATCTTCCAATTAGCCCTTGGGCTAATAGGAAGATTTTCCTATATATATATATGTGTGTGTGAAAGAGATAGACATTCTCCATGTAATAATAATTATATAAAGAGAGCATTTACTTTTAGCAAAAGGTTATAATTACTCTTATCCTTAGTATCTCAAATCGGGTGGGTGTGAGTATGTTATTGACTGAACTCAAAGTTTCCAAAAGAATTTATCAAACTTGGAGACACATACCAAGCTATTCAATTTGACATCTAATGGTTAGGAGTAATTGTAACCTCGTTGTAAGAAAGATAAATAGTCCTATGGTACATATTCTTTCTTTTAATATGTTAAATGTCTAGTTTTTTTGATATGTTAAATTTCTAGCTTGGAGCCTAGTAGATCTTGTTCTTTGGTCAAACTTTCAACGACGTACTTTTTAAAGATATTGTGAAATCATGGTGTTTCTCAAGAACTTGGGAAATCTGTCGGAAGCTTATCCAAATGGAATGCAAAGATGATAAAAGTGAAAAAATAGATTTGAAGTTCCAACGAGGACGTAAAGTTTTTCATAAATAATTTTAAGTTGAGAATTTATTCATCAAACGACTTTCTATGTACATTATGACATTGTCCTTTAAAAAAGTTCGGTAAAAAAAACTGAAATGATTAGCAGATAATGTATCCATGATAAGATAAATCCTGTAGCAAAAATAATTTTGTCAGACTTTTCCCAATATTTTCAATAGAATGAAAAAGGCACAGGTTTGGGGATCTTCCTAGTCCTAGTCATTTAAGAAAAGAGAAATGATCCTATAGGACTTTTTTCCACCCATGTGTGTTGGACCCATGTGATAACTTTTCTAAAAATCCATACCAACTTTAATGGTGATATTTTGAAGTTTTACACACATGTGATAACTTTTCTAAAAATTCGTACCAACTTTAATGGTGATCCTTTGAAGTCTTACATACATACATGGGGGAGCGTCCTATAGGATCATTACTCGAAAAGAGAAATAATCTTCTTATCTTTTCCCAATATTTTCAATGGAAAGAGCATAGGTTTGGATATCTTGTCGATCAATGCTAAACTTCGATTGAGGAAACCTAGGCCAGGCCAGGATGGGGTCCAATTCTTTAACTCTGCCAGGCCCAGCCACAACGCAAGAGTGGGTCTGCTGACATGGAAGTCCACAAACTTGCTTGGCCCAACCAGCATCCGATAGGCTGGGTTTGGGTTGGATGGGACTTGAACGAGATGTGGCAAGCCATAAGCCATGCCAGTCCCAAGCCCAGCTCACAGGCCTAATAAGGCTGCCCCAGCCTGACCTGGAAGCCCACAGGCCAGTCAGCCCGGTTCACAAGCCTAGCTAAAAGTAGGGCAACTAAGGTTGAAGAAGGGCAACTACGTCGCAAATAGGATGTTTGGTTTGAGGCCAATACCTACAACACTTCCTCCTCTATCATGTGGTAGGCACGAGGCCTATTTATGCCATGCACAGCAGTTTGCTGTGCTGTGACCAGTTATAAGTCACACCAAACACGAATACCGTTAAAGAACTAAGGTGCACGCTTCTTCAATGGGTGCGATTTTTGTGCCCTTGGGGCAAAAAATTTCTCTGGAAATGGTGGCTCCCGTAGAATCCATGTTATAGTGCCAGGGACTGGACCCTAAGAAAGCCACTAGATCTCTATCACACACATACCTGAGCGTGCACACACTCTCTGTATCAACATGCTCATAACAGTCATATTAAAAAAAACATGCTTATAATAGTCCATCTACTTCCACAATGAAATGTGCGTGAACAAATACATTGCAATGGTTATTTCTTCAAGTTGTTGATCTTTTCTGCACCATTTCGACCGTAAGGGGTTACAAGAAAATCATGAATGATCCAAAAATCATAAGCATACACATTTTCTCTCTGAATGAATGGCTTCCCTACAAGTCCATGATAAATAACCGAAACAGGAAAATATCCACTACCATGGGCCATTCCATGGCAATTCAGTTCCAACCTCATAAGAATGAATGAAGATGAATTTGATTTATAAATATGAATTTCTGTGAAAGAAAAGAAACTGATGATTTTGGGAGCATGCAACCAAAAAAGAGGAAGCTCCCTAAGGAGCCCTGTCAAAGGGCTTTGTATCGTGTAACAGACATCCCAAACGGCATCCATGGCATCCCTTGCAGCTGATTCTGAGCAGTATGGATTCGCCATGACAGACTTTAGGACTCGTCTCCTCACACACTCCTGTTTCCATGAAAAGAATATTATTGTATGATGAGCACAAAGGTTGCATATTTATCAAACAGGTAAAGATGAAAAAACAAGGTCTTATATCTATGCTAAACCTGGGCATGCACGCAGGACACTTTGTACACTCCTGTGGCTTCACCCTTTAGCCTCTGTTGAGTTTCCTGTGGCTTCACCCTTTAGCCTCCCTGTTGCTCATGACAATAGACTTTTACCAGAAGAGAGCTTTCCCCCTCTTGTGACTAACTGCACTACCAAGCATCACGGCAGAAAGGTAGGTCCTTTTAACTGCTGGAATAAGAATGCCCCCTCATTGTACTATTTGAATCTAGGGGGGGTGTCCAAATGGGGGTCTTCTGCTTAGAAGTCATGGAGGTTTTGCCCCAAAAGAAGATAGACGGTAAGACCTATGCTGTTATTGAGCCAGAAATCTATGAAAAATGTGCTAACCGCTGGGAGTACTTTGGTTGGATCCTTTTTGGGAAGCAAGCCCGATTGCAACTATATGAAGAGCATGCTTAGGAAATGTGGGTGATTGAGATAGATTTAGAGATATTTTCTTTGAAGTACGGGTTATTGCTCTTCAGCTTGAATTCTGAGGATGACATACTCAGCTTTAATTCCGAGGATGAAATGCTCATGGCCATGACTAGAGGTCCTTGGTTTATCAATAAAAAGTGTTTAGTTTTACAGAAGTGGGATCCGGGTAAAGGAGGTGGGTTGTGTCAAGTAGTCAGCCAACGTCAAACTTTGCCAAAACTTTTCATGAATTCTTTATAGAGATGGAATCGTAATACGGGTCAAGCTGCATAACCTGCCGACTAGTTTTTTGGGAGCCGGAGATCCTTTATCGTATTGTATCGGTTATTGGCAATCCCATCTTTAGGGACATACCTAGTCATCAAAGATCTAGGCCCGAACCAAGAATCTGTGTTGCCATTGACATTAGTTCGATTTGTTTAGAGGAAATTTGGTTCACTGTAAATGAGGTTTGGAAGAAATGCGATGATCCACGAGTTCATTACAGTTGTCTGTGAGAAATGCAAGACCTTGGATCCTTAAGGGGGAACTCTGTAGAAAAGCTCCCTCAAAATCATGTCGATGGTGCAGGGAGAAAATAATTTGTCTCATATCGATCATTCCAAGGAAGAGGTTTGGAAGGTGGTTAAAGGCAAACTGATGCAGGGAAATTTGAAGAAGCAGTAAAATCGACAAGAAACAAAGCCAAACATAATCACAATTTAAAAAAACCTAGGGTTTCTTCTCCATACCCCAAGCTAAGGCTCTAAAAGCATAAGCTTTCTCTTTTTCAATTTCTAAAAATCATGTGGAATTGGCCCCCTCAAGACCCCACACATCTCTTATATATTATAATTTCATGTTTCACGTACAAAACTTGTCCAAACAAATAATACATTGACCTATATATCCTAATCTAAATTAAAATTCATAATGATAGTTTTACCGCTGTGAACATTACTCATGAATAGTACTTACTACTTACGAAATAAAAAAAAATAAACACCCTAGAATCCCTAAAAATTTAAAAACCCCTAGAAATAACCCTAAAACAACAACTATAATATATATCCTTTAAAGTTGAATAAAACAAAAATTAGAATAATTTTGCCCTCCATCAGCCACACGGCCAGCCGACCTATGTTTACTTTCTCTCATCTTATCGCCTATTGGTGCCACACCTAAATTATCCGAAATGCATTCATTTCGAATTCTATCCCTTCTTGTCTTACCACTCATCCATCTCAACATTCTTATCTTTGCTACACTCATTTTATATGTATATCGTTTTTTGACCGCCCAACATTTTACCTCATAAAATAAAGCTAGTCTCACAATTGTCCTATAGAACTTACTCTTCAGCTTCATTGTTATGAGACGATCACATAAAACTCCAGTTGCACATCTTCATGTCATCCACCTAGCTTCGTTCTATGTGTGACATCTTCCTCAATCTCTCCAATTTCCAGACTATCAACCCAAGATATCAAAAGTGTGCTCTTTTTGATATTTCTTTGCTATCTATCTTAACTAGTTCCCCGTATCTACTCTTATTGTTACTAAACTTGGATTCCATATACTTTGATCGTGCGGCTAATTTTAAAACCTTTAGATTCTAAAGTATCCCTCCAAAGTTTTAACTTTTCGTTGACATCGTTGCAAGTCTCATCGATCAAAACTATGTCATCCGCGAACAACATGCACCATAGTACCTCACCTTGTAGGTGCCTGACGCGAATCGCATCTGACACGTTTATTTATTTAGAAATTAGTTTTCAAGGATTTGGGTAGATTTATTTATTAGTATTTAGGGTGGGTGTTCAATTTTTATTTATTAGGATTAACTTAAATTTTTAAATTTCTTTATTAGTTAGTTTCCTATTTTGTGGTGAACCTGTATATGGTAGTAGATCACATTGGATTCTATGGGGTCCTATTTTCATTGAGGAAATCAAATGGGTTACATGGGAAATAAGGATGGGTAGGACGTTGGGTCTTGTATGGGATGTGCACAAGTGAGAGAAAATGCCACAAAAGAGGATCTAGGCGAGAAAAAAGGATAGTTGCTATTTTATGGGGATAATACGTGAGGTTAAGGAAGGCGTGAATCAAAAGGAGATTCCTATTCCTATGGGATTGGAAGATCTTAAGAAAGATATCGGATAAGGAAAGGAGGTACTTGAGCTTGAAAGAAGGATCCTAGAATTGTGGATCTAAGACATGGGATAAAGATGGGAAAAGAGATCCTAAAAACGAGGATTTAAGGAAAGTGGTTAACATAAGGGGGAAGATATCCTTATATTCTTGGGATGGAGTTATGGGATGAGTCAAGGATATCAAGAGAGAGGGGAAGAGAGGTTCACATGGTGGAGAGAGAGGGAGAGAGAGAAATTCATGTGGTGGAGAGAGAGGGAGAGAGAGAGTTATCCTTTTTTTTATTTAGTTTTTTTTTTTTTTTGAAGTTTGTATTAAATGAGAGGACATCCCCATAGAGACTTACTTGAATATTTTTACAGAGAGTTTATTTATGAATGAAGAAAGATAGCTTCTTCTTATCCATGTCTTGATTTTCAGCCATATTTTTCTCCTCCAGTATTGTTGAATTTTTTATTGTTTAAGATCGAAAGAAGACCGAATTTAATTTTCCGGACTCCTTTTGCATCAGTGCCTAGTTAAGTCATCCATAACTAAGACAAAGAGGTATGGGCTCAATATTGACCCCTGATGCAGACCTATTGTCACTGAAAACTCACTCGTCTCTCCACTAATTGTTCGTACACTAGTTAGCGCTCTCTGGTACATATCTCTCACCACATCGATGTAGTGTCTGAAGACTCCTTTCTTTTCCAACACCCACTAAATAAAATTTCTAGGTACTCTATCATAAGCTTTCTCTAGATCAATAAAGACCATGTGGAAGTTTTTTCCCTTCGCTCTAAACTTCTCAATCAGTTGCATAAGCAGGAAAATAGTTTCGGTTGTTGACCTCCCTGGTATAAAACCGAATTGCTCTTCTGATACGCTCGTTTCATACCTTAGTCGTTGCTCAATCACTCTCTCAGACAACTTTTTAGTGTGGCTCATAAGTTTGATCTCTCGATAGTTTGCACAATTTTGTATGTCTCATTTGTTCTTGTAGATAGGTACCACGATATTTTTCCTCAATTTGCCTGGCATTCTCTTTGTTCTCAAACCTTGTTGAACAACTTGGTTAGGCAATCAATGCCAATCTCCCCCATACACTTCCAAATCTCTATCTGAATACCATCTGGTCCTAAAGCCTTTCTTATCTTCATCCTCTTCAAAACTTCTTTCACTTTTGATATCCTAATCCTACGAATGTATCTATGACCCCCACCGTCATTTATGCCAATGGTTCCTTCTACTGTTATGTTCCCATTGTGTTTGTCATTTAATAATTTTTGAAAGTAAACTCTCCACCTTTCGTTGACCTCTCTTCATCCTTCACCCGAACCCTCTGAATTTCATTTTTAATGTATTTAATACAGCCTAAATCCCTACACTTTTTCTCTCTCATTTTTGCTAATTTGAAAACATTTTTTCACCTTCTCTTTTTCCCAATTTACTGTATAGACTATCATATGCCTTAAATTTAGCCTTACTTACTATCGTTTTAGCATTTTTCGTAGTCGTTTTATATTCTTCTATGTTTTGATCATTTTTACTACATTGTAAAGTGTTTAATATGATCTTTTTTTGCTAATGGCTTTCTGAACGTCATCACTCCACCACCACATTTCCTTATCGGAATTTCTTTTCCCTCTAGATTCTCTTAAAACTTCTTTTGTCACTTTCTAAATACAATCAGCCATCTCATTCCACATAATATTGATCTCATGTTCAGGGTACCATTTGCCTTTAACTAATTTATCCTTAAATAAGACTATTTTATTTTTTTAAAATTTCACCACCTAGTTCTTGGATACCTATTAATTTCACCCTTTCTCTTTCATGTTTTTATGCAGACATCCATAACTACGAGCCTATGTTGAGTAGTCAAACTCTCTCCAAAAATAACCTTCCAGTCTTTACATGCTGATCGATCTATCTTCTTAACTAGGAAGAAGTCTATCTAGCTTTTATGTGATCCACTTTTATATGGTATTAAATGCTCATCTCACTTTTTAAAGTAAGTGTTTGCTATGGCTAGGTTGTCGGCCAAAGCAAAATCTAAAATAGCCTCACCCATCTATTTCTTTCACCAAACTCATATCCCCCATGTAGCCACTCATATCCTCTACTATCCTTTCCTATATGTCCATTTAAGTCCCCTCATAAAAAGGTCCTCTTTCCATTTGGCATGTCTTGCACCAATCCATGTCCTCCCAACATTATCTCTTAATTCTATCCTCTAGTCTACTTGTGGTGCATAAGCATTAATTATGTTAACTATCTCTTCCCTTAATACAAGTTCAATTAATATCAACTTATCACCTACTCTCTTGACATTAACTACTTTATCTTTTAAATCGCTGTCTAATATTATTATGCCTACGTCATTTCTACTATTATCTTTTTCTGTGCACCAAAGTTTATAACCACCTCATTACTGGGATTGATCCAATTTAACTTTGGCCTCTGATTGTCTATAATTTACCAAAAACTACAAGTTTTGCTAGTTTCCAGCCACTCCAATACTAGTTTCTCTCTCTCTCTCTCTCTCTCTCTCTCTCTCTTCTCTACTATATATATATATATATATATATATATATATATATATATACTATACTTACTTCTTACTTACTTACTTACTTACTTACTTACT